ATTCGAGTATGTAGATGCGAATGGTGCGATTGGAGAGCCGACCCCAAGCGTCGGGTTTCCTGTTTAACACGTGAACGGGCTGGCAGGCAGGCAAGCAAACGGTCGGACGGGCTGGTGGGTGGAGTGTGGATGTGTGGATGTGTGTGGGAGTGCATCGAAACGGATGTGAGCCCAATAGGGTTTTTGCCAGCGTTATTATTTTGCACCGAAAGCTAATTCGATGGCAGAAAGATGCAGATCTTAAGACTTGTGGGCTTTAAGCCCTTAGGGGAAACTGAATTTCCACACAAAAAGAACTAGGCCAAAGGTGGAGTGCTGGCAAATGGGGAATATGTACCCTACAAAGTGAGACAAGATTAAGCAGTGAAGTGCACAATAAGCAACAGAGTCCATAAAAGGTAACAAAAAATAGGCAAAAAAGTGCCCAACCAAAGAGGAGCTTAGATTAGACCTAATGGAGGGAAAAAAGTGTTGCGAAAGTTAACTAAAAACCAAGCAAAAGTCACTTAAGAGTGGTATTAAAAACGAAACTTTAGCCAAAGTTAAGTTAAAGGTTAAGTGAGGATGAACTATGTACGTTACAAATGGTCGAGCACCAAAGGAAAACTAGACCTTAAGGTAAGGTTAATGAAAATACCAAAGCTCCAAGAAAACTAACGAAACCATAGCTAAATTTTAGTGTGCAGATTTAAGCAGAGTTTCTGCTGAAACTTCACGGCGTTTGGCAGGTTTTACACTCTTGTTCATTACATCTAAGTTGATATTAATCTGCTGCCACTCCCTTTAGGCCCATTACCACACCCTAATACACCATTTAACCTTTACAGAAATCACTCAATTGGAGACTGCTCTAATCGCTCAATAATTCTCAAGCTATTCACCTCCTACTATGACCCCTAGGACCCTCTGCTGAATGGGAACCCTAATTAACCATCGTTTTGTTAACCGTTACGTCAACGTTGGCCTTATCGATGGCCTGGGCATACACGACGTAACCAACCGCAAGAGGAACAAATGTAATATCGAGAAATAAAAGTACTACAAACAATAAAGAAACAACAACACAACGCATTATCAAAACAATAAACAATTGATGATATTTTACTTAAGATAGCAATAGCAACAAACCACAAAACAACAACAACAAAAGAGCAGGGAAATCAATAAAGCACACACACCCACACAACAGTAAAAGAAACACACAGAAAAGTAGGAGAGCAGAAGAGAGGAAAGGATAGGATAGGAGCAGGGCAACAACAACACTGTGACAAATAAATAAAAATTGCTTTATTTATTAAGCATTAAACAATAAATGGGATTATTTTTGATCATTCGCAAACGCATGGACATTTTTGTTTACAGAGGAACTCCCCCTCTCTACTCCTTCCTTATGGAACAGAGTCGAATGGAGTGGAAGGACGGAATGGTTTGAGAAAACAATAAAGGAAGAGAGACTGCCCCCTACCACCCACACAGTCCAAGTGTGAGAATAATAACAAATTCAAATAATTCAAATAAGCAGGATAAGGAGGTATGAAAGAGATGGAGGACAAAGTGGGGGGAAACTCGGAGCAGGACAACGATGAAGAGCTGCAAAGATAAATAAATGCAAATCATTTTTTTTCCTCTTGTGTTTCCTTATTGTTTCTCATGGACCCACCATCCAATACCCAGTAATCGTTTGTTATAGAGGGTACATGGTAACATATTTAACCCAGGAACGTATTCGCGTACAGGACATTGCCACATTCGAGACCATTCTCACTTCTCCCTTCTGCAATGGAGTGTTTAGCTTTAGCTTTAGGATTTTCGGGGATGCTTACAGCCTACATCAGCACGGCGGCGGACATTACAGAAAGTGCTTGTTGAAATGGAGGATGGTCGCTTGAGTGGGGGCACAAGGATAATGTCTGGGGGATGGGATAGATGAATGGCTGGTTGAATGGATGCGGATGCGGATGCGGCGACCTACTACACCTCTAAGTAGCCAATCCAACTCATTTAAATGGAACATTTCGCTCCTCTCCATCTCCATTTTCCGCTCCCCAAACAATACATTTCACGTTGCTGATTTCGGCACAAATTTGTAACTGTCACTTTGCATTACCTTTTTTTTCCATACGGCCATTTTCCATTTCTGGCCAGAGGAGTCCGGCCTGGCTTAGAGTGGGACAAACGGAGTGAATGAGTGAGTGTTTGTGGGGGAAAAAAGGCGGAATGAAAAAGGTAGCCAAAAGTTTTGCAAGTGACAAATAGATTTAAATTTGAAAATACTTTTCTGTTACTGTTGTTGTTCTAGGGAACGGTATGGGAGCGTTAGAGGGTCTGTAGATGTCGCTGCGTGAATGCAAAGCTCTATTGACAGCGGTCGTAAATCTTTGTAAAAGTCCCTCCCTGCCTGGCAAACCCATGTCAGAGGGTTAAGGACTGAAGGACTGAAGGACTGAAGCACTAAAGGGCGGGGTAGGGCGTGAAAATGTGTGTGGTACAAACATGGAAAATCAGTTTTCAAGTTGTGCTTCGATTAGAGCAGGGTTAAAGTTTAAACCCCATTGCAGAAACCCCGAGCAAGGGTCATAGACGAGTGATTTTGATCGCTAAGGAACGGAAAGTGCTTTCAAACACACAGAAATCTATCACCGTCAGATACGATAGACACTGATAACTATAAATAGTCGCCACACAAGTACACATATATTACTTTATGCTAGATTTCGCGTGTAATCTATTTATTCATAATAAGTGCTCCACAAAATTGTTATCATGCGAGCGTCATGGTCTTTTTTTATTCACCCAAAAAAAGGTAATATTTATTCCAATTTCCTAGAGAAAGTATTTCCAATTGAATTTCCCATTTTGGCTACATTTTATAGCAGTTTTTGTTGCGAAATTTCATTACCAAGTATTTTTATGCTATAATTAATCTATTTTCGTTTGGGGAAATGACCAAACCAAACCAAACTAAACCAAACCAACTGAACCGAGTGATTCGCAATGATCTCATCTCATGTTTGTGCCAAGTATTTCCATCTGTGTTTACATTGTCTTTTAGAATGGTTTTTCAAACGTATTCCATACCATTCCGTGAGATTTGGATTTCGTAATTTCCACAGAAAGAACAGAAATTATAAGGAAGGGCACACACAGACAGACAGACAGAGGGAACGGCCAGAATTGCATTTACAAATTATCATTCTAATGAGTGCCCACACCCCGGTGTGCCTGTGCTCACCCTTTGAAATGCCTGCAGCATGGGGCATGGAGCATGCGGCAATTATAGCGCCGCTTCAACCGAAACCGTTGTTGCTGCTTCTGCTGCTGCTACTGCTGCTGCAGTAATTGTGGCCCACAATTCGCTGGAAAAAGTGCTAGCACTTGGCCTTTGCGTGTTTTGGCCAATTGGCATGCTGGAGTGTGAGTGGGTTCCGGGGGGCGGTGGTTGGAATTCCGAACTTATGAATGGAATTTGAAGTCACTGGATGGCATGGCGGCGACAACTAGGCCGCTGCGCTGCTCCTTCGAAGGTTGATCTACTTTTCGTCTGTCTCTGTCTCTTGTTACTCTCTGTCTCTCCAGTTCCTTTGCTACCTTTACCCTGTTCCCCACTCTGCTTTTGCATGGGGTGTCAGCTTCACAAGTTGGAGTCTTTTTTGCAATGAATGGAGTGGGTTAGAGAGGGAGGGGTGATAAAATGAAACTGAAAACCAGTTTACAACAAAAATACCTGACTTTTGTTTCACATACAGGGAAGTTTATCTTCGGGCAGCGGTCCTACCCCACTCCCTTCCCCCTCTCCTGTTCTCTTGCTCGCCTTCGCAGTGGCCTGCCTTTTATCAAAATTCTTTGAAATGCATTCACACACACACACACACACATGCACTCGGGGCTCTCTGAGTTTGTCTCTCTCTTTTACCCACACAAAATTAAATGTTTTTATTTTCACTGGTTCTCTTTTTTTTAATTTTTATATTCTTTGACTCTTTGGCTGATTCTGTGGCATTTTCTTCTACCGCTTACTCTTTTCACTCGCTCGCTCGCCCGCTCCACTGAGCAGCAGCAGCCAGCAGCCACGAAGAACGAAGGAGCGCCACCGCCCCTGCACTGCACTGTTACTACCCAGTAATTGGTAGGGTATACAGGGATACTTATGGGAGAGTATTTGAGGTTCTTATTGTGACCTTTAAGATTTCAAAGAAGTTCCTTTTAAATTTCCCAAGAAATATTACTCTCAAATTAATAAATATAATAATAATAATAAAAAAGTATTACTTTAATATCCAATAGCAAAATTTGTCCAGAAATATTAATTTCCCTTCAGTCTTGCTTATTTTTTGAGTGTTAAATTACTAAAGGGTATTCTTTTAGTCTAAATATTGGAGCCCTGACTTGCTCCAACTTGTTTTTGGTTTGCTTAGGAGTTGGTTCATGGCTTTTGAAACGCAGTCGACTCCCAGCGTACAAGAGTTTGAGTTTTGGAGTGTGCGGTGGTTCTGAACTGCAGACCGGACTCTGAGCATGCATGTAAAAATGCAACGTAACCTGCAACTGGGTGGGAGGGGGCAGAGCCCTTGCAACAGCTCTCAGAGACTGGCTGACTCTGGGACACTCTGACTTTGACTTTGACTGTGGGTTCTGGTACTGGCACTAGCACTGGTTATGGGTTCTGTTTCTGGTTCTGGCTGTTAGACTGGCTGGCTGGCTCTGCTCGCTGTATGTGAATTTAGTTGAAGTTGCCACAGGGAGTGGTGTGTGGCAGCCTGCTGTGGCAGGAGACATCGTGAATGTGTGGTCTATCTGCTGATTTTCAGCTCTGCGGCTTGCTCTCTCTCAGAATGTCTCTTTCACACTGTTTGGGGGGGGCGGAGTGAGTCGGTGTTCTTCTGTGATGTTTGCTGCCTGCCGCACGTTGCATGAATGGGGTCACAGGATGCGTATAACCACTGGCAAGTGTGGTCTACAGTGTGTGTCCCTGTGTGTGCTAATGAAAGAATGGTCTCCTCTTTCATGCAATAATTTTAATTAAATTTCCCAAACTGTTTAGAGAAGATTTGGAATTACGCTAGGATCTTCCCGGTTACTGGAGATTATTTATCAACGCCTTTGTGTACTCCGAGCACTTTGCTTTACCGCCCAGATCGACGGTCCTCACATTATCATCCTTGATGGTCTTCACAATCGCCTTCTCGATGGCATCCGCATGAGAGTGCAACTCAACGTAGTGCAGCAGCATCACCGTGGAGAGCAGCAGGGCCGTGGGATTGGCCAGATCCTTGCCAGCAATGTCCGGGGCCGTGCCATGGACAGACTCAAAGATGGCCCCAGAGGTGCCTATATTCCCAGACGGCGTCAGACCCAATCCACCGATGAGACCGGCACATGTATCGGAGATGATATCGCCGTAGAGATTCGGTAGGATGAGGACATCGAATCGCTTGGGATCCTCCACAATCTTCAGGCAGACTGTCTTGAGGGTCACCTCCTCGTACTTGATGCCCCCTGCTTTCAGCTCCTTCTCGTACTTCTTGGCGATCTCCCGCGTGCATCGGATGAACAGTCCGTCGGACATTCGCATATTGTTTACCTCATGGACGGCCGTGATCTGCTTCCGCTTCATGTCGAGCGCATACTTGAAGCAGTACTCGGCCACCCGCATGGAGGCGTCCCGCGTGATCAGCTTGATGCTCTGCACCACCCCATTGACGAGGGTGTGCTCCAGCCCCGAGTACTCCCCCTCGGTGTTCTCCCGAATGGTCACCACATCCACATCCCCGTAGACCGTCTCCACTCCAGGCAGCGACTTGCATGGCCGGATATTGGCGTACAGATTGAAAAGCTGCCGCAGCGTGAGGTTCAAGGAGCGGAAACCCGTGCCCACGGGCGTCATCAGGGGTCCCTTGAGACCCACTTTCGTGCGATTCATGCTCTCAATCACCGCATCGGGTATCATCGTCTGTCCCCTGCTGTTTATCACGGGCGTTACGTCCACAGGCTCAAAGATCAGAGGCGCCTTCACCGCATCGAGTACTTCCAGAACGGCCATGGAGATTTCCGGTCCAATGCCATCGCCAGGCATCAGCGTGATGAGGCGTGGACCCTTGGAGCCCTTTCCCGTTGGCGGCGGCGGAGTCTTCGTGCCGCCACTGCCTCCGCTCTTCGCTGATCCTCCATTGCCTGCACTCTTCTTTGATCCACCTTTGTCAACTCCTGCTCCACCTGTTGGTGCTATGGTGGTGGGTTTTTTTGGTGTTCCATCGCCTGGGGACTTTCCAGGGCTTCCAGTGGGTGGAGGAGTGGAAGGCGGTGGCAGCGGTCCCGCCGCATTTTCTTCCTTTTTCGGACCAGCAGGGGCAGGAGCTAAAGCAGGAGGAGATGCATCCTTTCCCGTTGGTTTTTTGGGTGCTGGCTTACATGGCGGTGGTTCTGGTTTGGTTGCAGCTTTATCCGGTGGTGTAGCTCTCTTTGGTGGGAATAAGGGACCTTTTGGCTGTGGCATAGGTGGACCATAAGGACCCGTCGGTTTTTTTGGCGGTGTAGTGTATGCTCGTGTTCCCTTTGGTGGTTTCCCTTCTGCAACGCCGCTTCCTCCTGCCGGAGTGGAACCAGGGGGAGACACTATCGATGGTTTCGAAGTAGTGGAAGCCGGTTCTGGCCTTGGAGCTCCTATACACGCCTCACTAGAGACAGTCGATGGCATAGAGAGTGACAAGGGATGAGTTTTCGTCGGTCCTGCGTTTACTCTGGCTCCTGGACTATCAGGGACTTCTTTTCGTGGTGATTTCTCCACCGTTGATTCTTCTTTTAGTGTCTGCTCCATTTCTGTTCGTAAATCATAAGATATTTCTCCTTCGTATGCGGCAGGGGGAACAGTCGGCGCATCTGCTGATAGTTTGGTGGCGATTTCTGCATCTTTTGCTTCTGCTGCATCTCTTGTCTTTGAAGTTTCAGTAGATTGCTCTTCCGCTGCTTCAAGATGAGTCCTCTCCGGGCTGGATAGTGACTCGGAAAGGCCTTCTGCTGAAAATTCGGTTGGTGCCTCCACAGGTGTTTCAGGCTCAATCACTGGCATAGACGGCAATCCTGAGGGTGCGAGTCGTTCGGCTTTCGGCGGTCTGGCAACCGATTCTACGCCCGGAGTCACTGGGAAACCTCTTGCATTGGATCCTCTTCTTGGTCCAGTCGGTGGAGCATCAGATGGTGGGGCTCCTTCTTCACCTGCTCCCGAATTAATCGAGCAATTTGCAATCGCTCTACCAAAATGTCTTCGAAATGACAGGAGAAATCCAAATTTTGGCCAACTCACGGACGAAGTTTTCTTTGATTTTGGGTAACTTTTATTTGGCACCATGCGTGTCAGGTATAGTTTAAAATCAGGCGGAGACCTTGCGCTCTTAGAGTAGTTCATGGCTGCAAAAATCACCTGCCGGCGTCGCGGTTGCAACCAGAGGGCAGTGGAATGTCCACAAAGGCGTGCGCCGAACCACAATTGACGCGTGGACATCCTTTAGTGCGAAATTTAGATTCAACAAGAGGCCGAGAAAGAAATTGTGTTATACAAAAATTTCCCAAAACATAGACGGAAAAGTCGCAGAGTTCCTTGAAATTGTTGATGAAAAATTCATTTGTAGGCCAAGAACAGCCAGCAAGTGGCTGAAGTCAAACACTTTGCCAAAAACCTAGCGATTCTGCGTCCACTTCCAGTTGCAATTTGCATAGCTTTTAGGCCAAGTCTTTCGTCTATCTTTTTGAGCAATCTGCAAAGGGGATGTGGGTGGGGCAAGCGGCTCTTTTATTTCTGGCGACTGGCACCGCGCGTCAGAAAGAAATAAAACTTTCACAGCCAAAAACACGCGACAAAGAACGAGGACAGCGGCAATGACTGAGAAGAAGGATAAAGAGGCGGTGGCAACCCAAAAGAAAGGGTTATTTTCATTCATTCATTCTGCAGTCTGAAAATGGGATGCCAATTGCAATTTGGCATGAAATGATGAGACATTTGTGTTTAGAAGGTATACCCACTAACTTGAGACAAAGAATATCTTTAGACAGGAGAAACATTAGAACAAAACAATTTCCATCCCTTTTGACGACTGCTTTTTGCATACTGACTGCTAAATAGAGCCTACCCTCTCCTTATAGGGTATCAAAACACTGCAAACGACAGCCAGCACTTCTATATGGTTCAGTTCAGTTTTTTGGTTTGTTTATTTTTATTTTTTTTAAACCTAATTAAATTACTTTTTTGCCTGCAATTTCATTTTCCAAAATTTGTTTGCTTTGAAGGTCGGAGAATTCCTCTGTAGCACCCACTCCCCGCTCCTGCACCACCACCAACATTGGCTTTAATTGAAAAAGTTTCATTTTGAAGCACACCTCCCCCTTGGCTCTTTCTACTGGGAAATGGAAAATGATTTAATATGAACATTTCTGTCATGTATTTAATTAGAGAAGAGTGCGCCGCCACTGCCTGACTCTGTTTCCCAGTCAACGAAATTAGCAATCAAATTATGTGCTGAGAGGAAACCCAGGAACCGAAGCCCCTTTTATGGTTTTTTGGGGCACACCTGCCGCAGCCGACGTGTGCTTGTGTGTGTGTGTGGTGGCCACGCCTCTAAACGCCCACCGTCACGCTGTTGTCATTCCTCTATGTGTTTCTTTTTGTTTTTGGCATAATCATATTTCAACGGATTAGCATAATTTTAACCGAAAGTTATATATGTTTGTATAATAATGAAAAGTGAATGGCTGTTCTGCTGACATGATGGCGGGGCAGGGCATCGGGTTGCAGACAGCAAGCAGTCGGTCGCTCCCCTTCGCCAGTTGTTTGCATTATTAAATTTTTCCTACTGCTAAAACCCCCCCCCGATGTGCTCACATTTATATTCATATTTGTGGCGTAGGGGGGATTCGCTTTTTTTGGTGGCATTTTTGCCTTTGTTTCTAAATGATTGATGATCACTAAGCTTAACCCCACAAAAACGCGATATTATAATTCATGGTGTGGGTCGTATAGCCATGCTGTCTCGATGGACCTAGGAACTTACCCACCAACTACAGTGTAGATATGCATGTACCCGATATCTAACTGTGTGCTGAACAAATATAAACATATAGTAGATACGATAGATAGCAAGCAGCCATGGGGCTATTCCATTGTTGCGTTTTTATTTTCTTTGAATACACACCTGCAAATGGAAAAAAAGCAAATAGATACAAGGAATTAGTTAATTAGCAAGTAAGTATGGGGATATTTAAGTATAGTGTGGAGGAAATTATAGACCCAACATTAGCTTAGGGTTAGGGTTATTTTTATTGTAAATATTTCTATTGGAATTCGAAAGCAAGAATCATGAATGGAACCGGATGGCCTTAGAGTTCATTTGCCAGCGTAAACCCACGAAAACATCACAGAAATCCATTAAAAATCGAGAGCCTATTCTGTAAGTTCGCTTTTGGGTTTTCTAGGAAAAATCTTGATTCGAACCATCGCTTTGAGTGATGCCAAATTCACATTTAACACTTTTTATTGTTGTTGTTGCTGTTTGCATTTACTTCTAAGTTTGTTAGCTTTTCAGCTTTGTGTGCAAGAAAAAAAACACAACTTGAAACTGGACAAAAATCCAAAAGCTCAAAGTCAATAAACTGTATAAATCGTACACAAAAAAACACAGCAACAAAAACATAAATAGAAACACGAATAAAGAACCGGACAAATAGAGGACCCACCGCATGAAAGAGAGCGTAAAGTAATGGAAGTCAAAGTCAAATACACCAAAAAAAAATTAAATAAATACAACATGTGCAGAAATACAATATCAAGAAAGAAAGTCTCTGGCTTCGGGGTGTTGAAACATTTAATGCCTTTTGACTGACAGACTCCCACAATACTCTTGGTAATTGCTCGCCCATTGGAGATTATTCCTTACTAAGAAATATATTTGGATTAATATAGAAAACATCCTATTGCACCTGTTGATGGCTGCTAAAGTTAACTGAAAGTTTCACCTAATTGAAAATACTTTTTCACAAATATTTTGAAGTATTTTATCCAAAATAAATGAAAAATCATTCTTAATAGATTCAGAAAGTATACAGAGCAGCCCAAAAAGTTTAAAAGCCTTCTGAAAGGGTATTAAAAAGCAAAAAGCTTACGCAAATCCAACAGGAAAAAACCCAAACAGAAGAAGAAATCAAAGTGCCTTTTGGTCATTTTTATTTTTTGCTCCAAACTCCAAAACAACAAAAGAAATCATTCACACACATGAATCTGTATGGATATTTATTGTTAGTGTTGTTGTTACGATAACAAGACAAGACCCCCGCCAACGCCATACTCGTATTAGCCCGGCTTTCATGGCATTTAACAGAAAAAAAGGAGAACACAAAAAAATAACAAAAAGATAAAAAGGCGAGCAAAAGCCAATTTGCTCGCCTTTTGGCTGCAAGATGGAAGGCTTTTCACTCTGTTTCTTGTCTCCCTCCTTGACCCTCTCTATCTATAGATATTGTATCTCGTCATAAAGTGATTTATGGGATTTAGGTGCAAATAATTGATTTATGCCTCCTCGACTTCAGACCGACCTCCATTGCGGCATGTAAATATGAGAAGTTTTGTTGATATAAAACGGCGGAGACTCCTTAAGAAAGGAAAAGGGGACCGCGAGTAGCTATATCTTACAGCAATTGGATAAATATTTAGCTAGGCCGACTGATAAGTGGATAAGAAACATTCAACGTACAGGTGGAAGCCTAACGAGAACTATTATCTATAGGGTGAAAAGTAGAGAGATCATGTGTATGTATCTACCAGTTGTTTATGCTTCTGGAAGGTTTAATGTACTTTGAGTTATAAAATAAAAGCTTTAATGATATCAAATGCACTCTTAGAACCCGTATCTGTGGATTTAGGGACCGTCTCTTAGGCCCAGAGTTTTCGGAAGCAAATATATTTACTTAAACATCATTTTATAGGTGGACAACCATTCAGTAAGTACTGTCTACTTCTAAAAATAGTTCCAAGCCCAACCAACAAAAAAAAATACCCATAATTCCCATAGTTAAATCACCTTTTCTGTTCGTGGATTCCCCCACTAATCGCATTACAGACAGATCCATAACTAACGCCACTCGGAGCGGAAATGCCGAACTATTTAGTTATGTATCTATGTATCTGTATCTTCTATGTGCTATGTGTGCTCTGTGTTTGCCCCCCGACCCCACATTTGGCCCCCATTCTGTGCACACTTCACTAGGCATTAACCTTTACCTTTTTCCGTGAACATAACAATCCAGAAACCGAAAGAAAAACGAAAGAACTCTGGCATCCATGAATCAAACAAAAAAAAAGAACAACAACACAAAAATGAAAGAATCCACGGCGACGGTTGTATCTTAAAAAGCACTCCATACGCCAAACCATACCTGTGTATCTGTATCTGTGTATCTTTCGAGTGTGTGTTCATTGGAAAACAACGATTACGCGGCACAAAAGACATGGACAAACAATGAAGAGTAGAAGAGATGATGGAGAACCCAAAACAGAAGAACAGAAAAGAAGTAAGTCGTCGGCAAATTATGCTTTGACTGTGTGGCATCCCACATCCACTGTGGCTGAGACTGCTGCTGCTGTTGCTGTTGCAACATCATTGCATAAGCAGCACACAAACGTTTTTGACCATTGAAAATCGGTCAAAAAGTAGTGGAAAATCGTATCCCCCTAGATACAAATACAATTGCTGCTTGTCTGCACTTTTGTTTGTTTTTGTGTTTGATGAATTCACTTGTAAAATGTTTAAAAATAGCAGGTACATAAGCCTGAGATACAAATATATCTGTCTACCTGTGCACGCTTGCCTTCTGGCTGTAGATACAAATTTTACACATTTTATGGCTGTATAGATACAATAGGCTAGATATTTAATTGAAGCAATTTTCTTGGGCTGCCTCTCGATGGATATCTTATCGGAGACGATCGTTCTTATCGGTGGATTGTTTCTCATTCTTATCGAGTGCCCCCTCCTTCTCCTGCTGCTCGTTAGAGCCATGTCCGAGAGCGGAAAAGGCCAACAAGTTGACAACTTCCTTTTGATACTCTTAATTGCCAGCGACCACTTTGTATCTTGTTTCACATTAAATGAACGCAAAACAACCTCCCAAAAAAAAAACAACAACAAAACAGGTTCAAAGCATGAATGAATTTAAGATACATTCAGACATCATACAAATGTCACTTGTGGTCACTTCTCAGAAATAATTTACGGTTCTACTGAATGAAGGAAGCACCTGAGAAATGAATGAGAGTTGTACTAGAACCCTAAAATATAGCTATAAAAGTCGAATCTGTACAACCAACAGATGTATCCGCTAAAAAATCAACCCATTGAGGGAATGACATCATTTCGTACCGAAATTAAAGCTGAAATTTAAAGAACGAACCGATCCAATAAACGCACCAATTGCCTGCTGCTGCTTGCCTCTTATATTGAGGTCAAAAAGTGTAAAAAAACACAAAAAAGCAAACATTCATAAAGTAGCTGAAAAATCCCATACAAAGGCAAGATTTTGTTGTATCTTTTGGTTTGGTTTCGTGTGAGATCGATGGGTGCACAAGGCGTTCAAGCACTCTGCAGATCGTGGGCGTCGTTAATTTTAATTGAAACTAATTAGCGCAAATATAAAAAAAGATGTGCTTAAAATGCGGCAAATGGTTTCGGTTTTTTGTGGAGAGTGGGCATGTTGTAATGACTGGCATGCGGATGGAAAATATTTGCCATAAATTCGAATAGAAACAACAAACAAATGCTGCCTTTCAGCGCAAAGTATCTTTTGGAGCACATAATCAATTGTTTGGTTGGGGGTTTCAAAGGGGAAGAATGCGTGTATCTTTTGTGGAACCAAAGTTCATTTCAATAAAAGGTTTTTTCAAACAAAAGCGTAGATTGAGTTTGATTTTTAGAAATTCATGCAGACGATTGGCAATAAATTAGTTATTCATTTTGATGACTGATTGAATGAATTCATGAATTCAATATGGTTTCAATATTAATTTCATGTCGCTATATATATTTTTAATATTTTTATAAATATTTCAATGTTTTTTCTTTAAATGAAAATATTTCTAAGACGCGTTTACTTTTACGAACAATATTTTCCTGTGTTAAGTTTACTTTTAAGAAACGTTAACAGACACAAACCCCTGCCTTTGCCATTCTTTATTCTAAGTAATGCCTATCACACCCAATTAATCCCCTCTAATGAACCCCCCACTCGTGCTCTACGCCTATCAGTATCTATTCATTCAGAACTTTTCCCCCCAAATGGATCTGTGCGTGGGAAAAGTGTAAATGGGAAATGGGAAATGGTAGCGAGAATCCAAGTGTAAACGAAGCAGAAAACCTTATTTCCAACTATTAAAACGCAACGAGTGCAGCGACTGGACGCAAAGAGCATTTGTAAACTACTTAAAACCCATTCGTAATTCGTAATTAGTTTTTGCCCAAGTCTCTTTGAGTTCAGTTCAGTCCCGTCTCGAGTCTCAAATCAATTAAGTTTTTCGTCTGTCTGGGAGTTTAATTGATCGCCAGTGAAATGGAGAGGGAGAGAGAGAGAAAAAACCAGCAATTAAACTCCAACTAGAAAAAGAACTCCAAGTTAATTGATGAATGGAGAAGATACGAGTGCAGCTTAAAGAAGTGCCCCCCAAAAACTGCTACCAAATAAGAGTATCTATAAACTCTTTTAATTATCTCACAGATACCTTAGTGCGTGTATCTTTAGCTCTGGTTTAAGCGAAACAAGAAACAAGTTTTTCACTTTACGATCCTACGGTCTGAGCATTGGTTTTTTAGCTACCACTTTTGATGGATTTCCACTGCTTCCAAATGTCATTGAAACTTTTAATTGGCATTCGTTCATTCAGAGATCCCATAGATACTCTCTATGGGTATCTTTCCGCCCAGAAGATAGTCAAAGGAAGTGGCTTCGAAATCTGCAAACCAAAGGAAAAACTCTGTCAGTCAGCTTCCATCGTCGTTTCCTACTCTATTTGCACTTTTCACTTATCTATACGCAGACACACACATCACGTACATGTGCATACATATGTAGCTGTAGATACGGCGGTATCTCATAGTTTGCTCTAATTTTATGTTGAGTTGCGAGTTGCTTAAATATTTAGTAACAAGACGACATACACACAGAGGTAGAGATACAGGTACAGATACGCAGAGATATAGCTACAGCTATATGATTAGATACTGTAGCTCCACATGCTACACGGTACTTCCTGTTGGGGCCAACGTCTCGTGTTAATGTTAATTTTAATGTGGAGCTGGGTTCTGCATCTATTTCGAGTCTTTTGTTTATTCGGAGCCCAAGATACAACTCAATTAGCAGTCGGGGGATGCGCGCAATTAAATTAAAATTGAATTTTATGGAGGAGCGCCTTCGTGCCTCTTGGAGGAGGCACCTCTGCCTCTACCTGGAGGTGGAGGTGGAGGTGGAGGAGGAGGAGTGCGTGTGCACACACAACATTTATCGTATGCATGACACTCGACATGAGATTAGCATCACAAACAGCACATAAAAAAGTGTAACGCAAACACACAGCAAACAGACAAAAAAGAGATATATAGAGAGATGCCAGATACAGATACATAAATAAAGTAAAACTATGTAAACAGTAAATAAATGTCGAAAGCAACAGCCACAAGGCACAGATACAGCCATAAAGATACACGTACTCGTACGCAAGTACTCTAGGTGCGGTGCGGATCGAAGATACATACAAATGTTTGTAGTTGACGACGGCATAGCCTACCACCAGAGGCATTAGCCAAATTGAATTCTTTCCAAATTCCACTTGTATCTTTCACAGCCATGCGGGCGGCAGTAGAGACAGATACTCTGTCTACCTGCGTGCATGTTTGTGTGTGTGTGTGAGACAAGAACTCTTCTCAGATACAGGTATGAAACGAGGGAAAACTTGCAACATCATTTCCCCTTCCCTTCCGCCCTTTTACTTTTGTAAGTCTCCGCTACAGATACATTTGTATCTCACGGGCTTGTGTGTGCGTGCAGGTGTTGTAATTGTGCGTAAAGACCAAGTCAAGGTCGGTTAATCAATAATAATTATTTTTCACTCAATTACACGCCACACAGCTCACCAGAGAGTAGCTCCGCAGTGCCAGTTTCAGTTTCTGTGTGTGCATTGGCATTCCTCGCATACAGATACGGGGATACTCTGGCTACTCAGATGTTTATACATTTTTTGCTCTTCTCTTTATTTTCGGTTGTTTTAGATCTTATCTTTTTGTTTTGTTTTGTTTGGTTTTTGGGTTTTATTTTTGACTTTGCATAAACACAAAATTATGCCATCGACCGAGTATCTCTGCATCTTATGGATGTATCTCCACCGATATATCTTTGCTTATAAATATACGGCACAGCCTTCACACAGTTTTGTTTTTTTTTTGGTTTCTTTAGATGCGTGCCACTTGATACCACGGGTGCACCCTCCGCCTCTTGAGAGAAATCAGAATAACAAATGACGCCACCATCACAGTCCATAACACCAGCAACTATATCTGAATCTTTGTATCAGGCACCAAAAACTTTGTCCGATGTGTTGCTCAATGCTCTTCTATTTGCTAAACGGCCAGCTGGGGCCACTCGGTCTATAGAAACACAAGGGTAATTGCAGTTGCAGGACGCCAAAACTTTGGTTTACAAGTGCCTTTACTTGATTGGAGAACTTACGATTGGGTCAGACAGCAACAATCTCTACCAGATATTAACAAGTTTTACATACATATTCCCTTATTTGGATTTCATTGAATGGGGTGGGTAAGGCTTACCTTTTTCATTATGGACTCCACTCGAATGAATGTCGATGGACTCGAAATACCCCTTGACGGCCTCACACTGCTGCTGCGCTGTATCCTTGGCGCGCGAGTCCCGCTGCAGGCGTCGCCGGTGGTGCGTAGCGGCACTGTGCTGATGCTGGTGCTGATGCTCGCCCCCGGTGGCACTCAAATGCTTGCCGCTGACGAGACCCACAATGCTGCCACAGAGTAGGGTAAAGAGCAGGAGCTGCGTCACACAGATGCTCCTTCTGGAAGATGTTCCTGTCGCTATCGCTGCCGCCATATTGAGATGTGGATGCTGTTTTTTTCTTGTTTCGTATGGATGGAAGAGCTTTTCTCTTTTCCTTTTGCACTGCTCTGCGCTCAAAGGGTGGGGGACAGACAGACAGGGGAAAGCCACGTGAAGAGAGAGAGCGTAACGTTTGCAACAAACAGCTGTTTTCCCCACTAATACACTCTCACAAATTGCCGGCTAACACACACACACAACCGTACAAGCACAGCACGCACACACCGACACGAGCACAAACAAAACACGCGTGAGGGCAATAAAAGAAGAGACGACCAAAAGTGGGCGATTCGAGCGGGGGGCTACAAGTTTCTCTCTGCTGCCGGCGCTGAGGTCTCGAAAAAGTTTGCAAAAAATTATACGCGTTACTAGTGTTGTTTTTGTAGCTCTTACTTTGTTTCAACTGTTAGGATTCTGTATTAAATTTTCAAAATTCACTCAAACATCTTTCATGACATAACCGTTTATATATGTACATATATTTATATGATCTAAATAGCACTCCGATTACTATACTGATATGCGATCAATTTGCGTTTGCTGCTGCTCTTACTTTGTTTCTGCGTTTTTGCCTTTGTTTTATTGCATTTGGCGAAAATAGATTTCCCGTAGTGCCCTCGGGGCGACGGACTGCACTTGCATTATTTATATAGCGTCGTGATATGGGGTCTGGCAGCGATTTCTACGGATCGAATTTGCGTACTGCGCGCAACCAACCAGCAGTCTAGCCTCGACGAGTATTCGAAAAAATTACGCCAAATCGTACGCGGGAACACAAACGGTCAATTTTCCGCAACACGAAACACGTCCGAACCGAGCGATGGAAAAAACCGATATACCATATGTAAGAGAGTTTTCTGGATTGGCAAGAGCACTTATCGATAGATACGAAATTAACCCACTGAAGCCCCCTCTATATAAACAGTTGAACAGCATTAGTTGAGTTGTGGAATATAATACTGTTTGTTGATGCTTCAAGTAGCTCCGTTTTTTCTCTTTGCTTGCAAACAAATATTACCATGATATACTTCACATGAACTGCACTAGAATTATTCAAGTTCTATCGTATGCGTGGGTAAATTGCATGTACCCGCTGGGCGACAAGGGGCTAATCGTTCTCTCGCCATGGCCGGTAAACAATTTGCTCGATTTTAGTTTTCTTTTTAATGTAACTAGCAAGCAAAGACTCTCAGCACGGAAAATACAATTTTGTCAGATAGATTAATCAATTTTAAAGAAAACTGTTTAATTTTAAAGGTTTGCATTTTTGTGGATTTCCAATAAAATTAGGTTTTAAGAGAAAACGTTGACAAAAAATGTGTGTATGAATGAAATGTTGCGCCATTTAACCACTTGTTGCTAGTCATGCGCTAGTATGGACACTTGTGTACCTTATTGTCTTTGATTGAGGTTAAAATTCAGTTATTCCAAGCAGCTTTTATAAGTTTCTTTATGTTAGATTTATATATTTTTAGCCTGTTAATTGGTGTTCAGAAGACACTGAGTAGCTCCAACAGTTTTTGGAACCTGATATTACAAACATTTTCCCTAGTCGTTAGTATCTTCTTCCCCAAGGGTAGCAGAATGTTGCTTCTTTCGTGGCCATGTTGCTCATCATTGTTGCTCATGCCACGGCCACATGTTGCAGGTCCATCCAAATGCAAAATATTGCCAACGGTAAAAAACGTTTGGATTAAATTGAGCCGATTCCCAACGAAAAATAGAGCTCTCCTTGCACGGGGAACCTACTTTGCACCGTGGGCCGTGGCGAAATGGAAAGTTGTGGAAATTGAGTGCGAACTGTTCAGCGTCACCATGTAAATACAGAATCAAAACATTCAAATTCAATGGCCAATCTCGTTTTACAAATAAGAATACAATATTTCCTTATCACTCACCGGGCTTCAATCCGACCTTCCTTTGTAATGAATCATCTAAATACCTTTAAATATTTATTGAAATTCCTACATTTCCCCTGTCGATCGTTGCAATTTGAATATTCGAAGAAAATCAATCAGTTCCACTGCCAAGCAACCACCGCCCTCTGCCCCGTCGAATGGGTGATCGCCTCTCCGGTTCGACTGCTGCTCCAGCTCCCGCTCCCTTTAATCAGTGCCGCTGGAAAAAGAATTTGCATGTTCGCTCTTAATTTTCGGTTGGAATGGGTTCTAATTTTATTTCGCATTCCATTTAAGATCGGTTTAATGAACTCGTCGGAGCCACTCTCTCTCTCTCTCTTTCTTTTACTCTGAGGAACTGTTATTTCACACCTTTCCCCGTAGGGAGAAAGAGAGACAGAGTGTGTCTGGGGCAGGGAGAGACTGCACGTGGCGTTGCTTGCTGCAGCGGTGCGGTGCGGCAGGTCTGAGCCCTGCACGACTCTTTTTTTGCATGGAACTTTCACTCATTCGAGGCAACACCAACACCACCCCCCCGGGTGCTGTTAAATACCTGAGCCTCTTTGCCTCACTCTCTCCCTGCCTCTCCAACTGCGCCGAGCTATCTATTTCTTCATTAACTAGCCATGTGGTATGAAGGAGGGGGCAGGGGTCAGCGGACTTCATGGTGGTCAGACTTCCAGCTGAGCGGCAAACGTCCGCCCTCATTTGGCCTTGTTCTCCTCTCTGTCTGTCTATGGATCTTTGTTTCTATATCTCTGCTGATATGTTCATCACGAAGTGGATCGGATCACTCTTCCAAGGGAATGGAATCCTATTCAAATTGGTAAGCAGCAGCAGTGAAGGGAAAGGGAGGAGAGGACCCCCCAAAAACAGCAAAAAAAAAAGTGAGTCATGCGAGGCGGAAACAACAGTTCCACCAAAAACGAAACGAAAAACAAAAGCAAGAGCAAGGGAAAAAGGTAAAGGTAAAGTCGAAAATTAAACACCACACCACATCGTTTAGATAAAGTTATAAATTATAAGGCAGGAACGATCGGTGGTGTTCGATGAGAGGAGAGCCCCATTCTCCATTCCCGACACAACAACAACAACAAAATCAAAACAGTTGACTCAGCAGCTGTGGTCGAAGTGCTGGATACCCTTGCACGAAGCTTTATAGGTAATATCGATTTAATAATTCGATTTTATTTTTAAACTTTCAAACCATAGATCTGGCATTTATCAGCTTTTAGTGGGAGTATCTTTAGAAATATACAAATATTAATACAAATCATCATACTCCACCCTCTCTAGGGAGTAACAACACCGAAACGAAGACCCTTTTAGTAGCCTTGTCTTTGTCTCTCTTTGGATCCACAGGTAAGACACTCCGCACACCAGCTCCCGCTCTGAGAGAGTGTGTGTGAAAGATGAAATTAAACGAATTTAGGCAAACGGCATCTATAAATTATAAGAGTGCTAAAGAGAGACAAAGAGGGGATACAGTTTTTTCTGTTGTTTCCCCCCTCCGATATGTTATGAGTGCAATCCCTGGCCTGGTCCTGTTTTGGTTGTTTTTTTTTTGGTTGGAGCCAACTCAAATTTCGTTTAAACGCTTGATTTAGTGCAAGCAAAAATATGGCCAAATGTTTGTGTTTGTGTGTATTTGAGCACATTCCACAAGCGACAGCGTTTTGCACTTGAAATCCTTAAAGCCAGAGCGGGAGAGAGCCAGAGAGTGAGAGAGAGGCGAACATAACCCGGCTTGCCTTTTATCCTGGGCCTCTGGACAGGCACAAACACGTTGGTGGCATTCCCTCTCTCCCCCTCCACTCCTTCATAGAGTTTGAGTGTGTGTGTGTGTGTGTGTGTGACTGGTCCAACAGGTTCCATGGAGATTCTTCTGCTGCAGTCATTCCCGTCCCTGGCCCATGTCCCGTGGCTCAGCCTCTGCCACCGCTGACTGTGGCCTGGCATGCAGCATTTCTCGTTCTCGTTTCCCACTACTCTCGCTCTCTCTCTCTCTCTCTCTCTCTCTCTCTACCACTCCCTTCTGCCTCTTGGCCGACTCTATCAGAGTGTAAGCCTTCGTTTTGCACATTTTTAAATTTTATTTTAATTTCTTTTTATTATATTTTAGCTGCGCTCTGCCCCTTGCTCCACACTCTCTTCTGGGGTTCTACTTCAAGCTTCTGCTTCTTTTTGTGCCTGCTGCTGCTGCTGTACTTCATTTGATACCCATTGGATAGTTGGCCAATGATCATTTGATTGTATGTTTGCCACATGCGGATTTCATATCAAAAAGGTCTCCTAAACATTATGTACAGCAGATGCCAACGCTGCTGGTTAAAGGGTACACAATACTTCCATCATTGATCACTCAAGTCATTCTTTCTGGTTCTTTACTGCTTTTGGGGTTTGTGCAACTTTTTGGTTTGTTGATTTTCATTCACCAAAAACTGGTTCGACGTTTAGGTTCTTCACATGGCTTAGACACCGCTCCCCACAACCTTCTTTATGGGCTCCTATGGCTGGGTGAGGGAAGGGGAAATCGGAGGTAGTGGCTGCTTTAAGGAAGTTCTTGTTATGGCTCTCTCTCTCTCTCTCTCTTTCTGGCTTTGAGGAATGTGTGAAGTCATCGAGCAGCAGCCGCAGCAGCAGTAGAGGTGCACATTTGAATGCCTCGTCTCTTGGTTTTCTTACAACACTTTTAAAGACCTGGGCGGCACTTGCAGTTCAGTGTCTTGGCCATGGCCTTAAATTCCAAACACACACACACAGCTGCAGAGAGAGAGAGATAGAGAGAGCGACAGAGAGAAACAAGTGCCCGGTCGAGGGCGTCTCTCTCGTTTTTCCATCGAATCTGAAAATCAGTCAAACGAAACAGACATCGATAGCACTTCATCATCATGTAACAATCAATGTGCCCTGTCCCCTCCCTCCAGCAACCACACTGTACACTGCAAGAAATCTGATATTCACATGCACGGGAAGGGCATACCGTGTACCGTATTGCCTTTTACCAATTAGATGTTCGGAGTTGTGTCTGTGTGTGTGCACCCTGTAATTGTATTTCATTGCAGGATATTGGATTTTTGTGCTTGATTTGGTACATTGTAATGCGGTGGTACACCACTCCCCACCACAGCCCACCACCTTCCATGCCACAGCCGTGGGGCAAGGGTTTCCAGCAGTCAAAGTTACTTGTATCAAAAAGTGGTCCTGATGCTCGGTTCGGCTTCTCTCTCTGACAGTTCTCCTCCTCTTTTATCCTCCTGCTGCCTGGCCTGCCCTTCGCTTTCCTTCCTCTGCTTGACAGCTACTTGTCAATGGCCGTGGGCTGCCTTACCCCACCTGCCCCACCACTGCCTAGCACACGACTCTGTGCCTGCACAGGTGCTAGAAGAGTAGTTCGAAGGGCTTTTGGGGGGCACACGGAACCGCTACTGGTACTGACAGTGGAATACGGATTGGAACTGGGACTCCTCTTTGTTGGAGGAGAGGGGGCCGAAGCGCAGAACGTGTCATTGACAGATTTCAACGCAATTGCGTATGAATGAAATCGATTTTATTTTTTGCCTTTGTTCTGAACTCTGCGATGATAGCAACCAGTTCATGTCTATGATGATGATGATGCTGAGGATGGGTAGGGCTGCTCAATGATTGGCGTAACTTGATTTGGGAAATTAAATTCATGTGTGATACATTTAAATATAATAAAAATCTTACGCTTATTAGCTGATGGGCAAACCCAAGTTCAATCTCAATTATTTTCAGCATAATCTTGGCAAAGAAATTAAATTTCCATTTCCCATCGTTGGTTCTCCCATTGCCAGTTCTTCAATCGAGAACTGCAGATGCCCGGCCCTTCGTGCAATCCCAAAACACTTTCCCACACACTCACTTTTTATGATCCACTTCATATTTGTATCGTTG